GGATCTTAAGGAATTTTTTTCCTAATACAGACTAATGATCCAGTCTGGGAAAACACTCATCAATGCTTATAGAACAAATTCTAAGCAGGAAAAATCTATCTATCTATCTATCTATCTATCTATCTATCTATCTATCATCTATCTATCTCAGTTATACCCTCATCACAATACAATTTATTATAGTACACCATGGCATACCACATTCAACTGTGGACAATAAAAGTGTGGTATAATAAAGTTTTACTTATAAACATACACGTATAAAACAGGCTTTATTTGTTTAATGTGTTTATATGGCAGTCCATAAAGAGTTCCACTTTTACCACTGTTCTCAATGCAAGGCTATATCGGATCTGGAAGGAAAATTTCACTATGGATGAGAGGAGACACTGCCTGCCTGGACATACCCACGAGCACTATGAGGCGGTGCTTGTCGGAAGGGTGTCGCTGGTACCTCACTACCTCCTCGTATGGGGCACCCACCGCACTGTGGCAGCTGCTGGCGCAGTCCACACTGGCGCGCAGCTGGCTGAGGTGAGACTTCCTGCGGCAAAGGCGCATGCTGCGGCGAAAACCAGCTGGGGAATGTGGAAACACACGGAACATTAGTTCCAGGGCAGGAGAGATTACAACTTGCTTTCAACCTGATGACACATATGCAGTGACTGTGATCCAAAAGTGTTAGTTAACATAGTCATGTCTGTCTGATGGTAGAAGGTCAGAAGCAATATGAAGGAAAAATAGCAAAATGCCCCATATGTTACCTCTAAGTGGCACCCAGCGTCCACTATGTGTCAGGCATTGTACCAGGTGCTGGTCATATAGCTATCAATGAACCCAAGCCCATTTCCTCATGGAATTTACATTTGATGGAAGAGGAGAGACAAAAATCAGCAACAAAAATAAGTGCTTAGGAGAAGGATGGGTGGATAGAGTTGACGGTGTGCTTTTTCAGGTAGGTGGTTCAGTAAAGTGTCTGAAAAGTTCACACTGAGCAGGTAAGTGCCTGAACGAAACAATGGAGCCAGCTAAAGAGACATCTGGGGGGAAGGTCAGTCCAGGCTGAGCGGAACAGCAAAGGTGCAGAGAAAAGAGTGTGCTTGGAGCACTTGAGGAAGAGCATGGAGGCCTGTGTGTCT